CCCACCTTTAATTGAACCGCCGCACATAGGTCATTTTCGCCAATTTAGGCGGTAATAAATAATACCTTAAAATTTAAATTATTTTTTAAAACAAAATAATTTGTTTGGTAAGAAAAATAAATAATGCGTGGAATAATGACATTTTGTTTCATTTTATGCTTGTACAGGGTGTCTTACGAAATATATTATTTTTTTTTTTCATTTTATTATATCGAACTCTCAAACAAACTGTAGTTCCTTACTTTTGTAAGGAATCTCTATTAGTATCTAGAAGGTTTACAGAAGATGTACCGTATTAGTAATTGAAAGTAAAATTAGCTTGAACAATGAAAAAGCAGCCTAAAAACATTTAACAAATATAAATAAAATGATAATAAAACTATTTTACTAGGAGAAATTTATGTAACAATAATATTCAATCATCAATAATGATCATCATCATCCTGACTATCATTTTCATCATTTCTATTATTCCAACACTGATGCCTGTAAAGTACGCCCCGAAGTAAATTAAGAACCCTTGATAAGTGGTTCCTGATTTGACCGTGCTCCCAACATTTAGACAAAGAGTAATAATAATAATAATTTAATTTTTAATAATTTTCACTATTTTATTATAATGTTCGTCGCCATCATGTTGCCCTTAAATTTAGCGTAATTCAGAACAAATCGCAAAATGATGCATTTTTTCTTCAAAGAATTGCCTTCACACCAAGCAGAAACCAAAGAGATTTTCTATTGACATGGTACCTAAAACAATATATATTTATTCTCTTGGCACATCTTGGCAGCTAAATTTAGGATAAATTAATTGATAAAAAGATTGTGAATACGAAAAATGTTCTTGAAATAAATCTGTATAAATCCTGAATTATAAACCTTTTAAATACAAGGTTATGAAAAACGCTTTTTTTTCTATTATTAAACATTGTATCTTTTTCCAAGTCACAAGCTTTTTACACGGATATTATTTTTTTAATAATAAATCTTACCTTTATGGTACACACCAACACAACACTACTTTTAAACTCCACTTTCTATTCAGTAACAACAAAATTGAAAACTTATGAACCACGACGTAATTTTACAATGCGAAATAATTCAAAACAAACTTTGATATTGTCATTCTCGCCATGGCCAATTCTGTTAATATTAAAATATAATATTGCAGAAATAATATCTATGGGGCCCTAGTCTAAGATGAAATATAAAAATATTTTTTCGACATTCACATTTTGTATTTATTAATTCCTAAAATACATAAATGACTCTATGCGCCGTAAGCTTAAGCCTCCTCTTACATCACAATTTTACCGGATCGTAAATGTTTACATTACTTGCCAATGAATCATACTATTTTCTCTAATCGACTTTAAAATAGAGTGTTTTAGCATTACTAGATAAATAAATAGAGAGTTTCCGAAGGAATGCATATTGTTTATTAGAATAGTGAATAAATAAAAGCATTATTGTGACGAACTTATTTTCCAAGTTTTACAGTAGTCAAATTAAAAAAAAATGTGTGTGGTGTTTTACTATAACTGTACATTTTAATTTTTTTTATTTTAATTTTAATTTTAATTTTAATTTTAATTTTTATTTTAATTTTTTACATTTTTTTTACGATGTTAAGGCCCTTTAAAATTTATTTAAAAAGAGAAGAAATTTTGACCCTAACCAACAATTCGTATGGTCTGTTTTTGAATACATGTTTTGTTCGTTATTTATAGTGATTTATTAAATATATTAGTAATTTTTAAATATGACAATGTCACAAAAATGTATTAACTAACTATTTTCTTAGTTTTAAATCAAACGTTTTTTAGTGTATGCGCGATCGTGCAATCCTTACATTTCTTATCACTTTTCATCTCGCTAGCTCGTGTGTCACGATCTTGAATTTTTACTCCCACCGCACGCAAAGAAGTTTTACTTAAAAAAACAATAGATCCATGATAAAAGTTAAAACCAAAGCAATGAAAAGTCGTTCATAATAATAATCATTATTTTTCATACAGTCAAATCAAACTGGTCACATAGGGAGAAAAATATTGCCACATTTTTCTGTTTCCCCACATCTACTGCACTATTTCATGTGAGATAGAATGAAGTTTTACACATGTCGTTTCTAAGAGGGAGTGACGGGTCTCCTCGTAGGGGAGAGCTGGGCGTAATAGCCCAGACACTATTACTGTTTATGGGAAAAGTAGGGGAACGGTTCTAGGTTTAATAGTCGCTTCGGGAAACATGAATTTCCACCCGGTAATACGAAAAAGTATTGCTTTCCTTAGATATTTTTCTTCAGAAAATGTAGAGAAAATAAAAGATTACAAAATGTTTTGTAGACTTTGGTCATATTTAGTAGGTATTTCTCCGAAAATACTTTTCAGAGAAATGAATATTTTTAAAGATTATTTTCTATTTTTTTAAAATAGAACACAGTATCTTAAGAGTCTATGAAGGTGCGTATTCACTATCCGAACGAACGAACGAATGTTCATTCGTTCGTTCGGTAGTAATATGGACGGAACCGGATTTTAGAACCAAACGAAAACACCTGAACCCATTCGTTTGCGAACGCCATTGATATACCGACTCGAAACGGATGGTTGAGTTTAGTCGAACAAACGAACGACCGCATGCGTTCGGTCCACCGTCCAAATATACCGAATTCATTCGTTCGCTCGCTCGTTCGTACGTTCGGATAATGAATACGCACCTTTACGCTGTGCTGTTCTAGTCGCTCTCAGGGGTCGGGTAAAATGGGTGTGACCGAAGGAAATATATATTATATTTCAGAAATCTGCCTAAGGCTTAGCCCGATCCTGTCGTGTTAAGCCACACCCAAAATTCCAAACACACGTGCTTTGATTAAGGCTTGATTAAGGTTTGCAGGTTTGCTTTAGCATTTGCCATCAGTATAGTCAACGACGTGACGACGTACGTTACTCACATCATCATTCGAGTACCGCGCATCGTTCAGTGAACATCGCAGCTCTCATAGTGTTTCGTGCTGGGTAGTACCTCGTGCTTGGTAAGTGCTTCCTTACATCATAAGCTTAATCAAACTTAGCAATACGGCACTCTCCAAGGGTCGTTTCTCCTTCTCCCCAATCGCCTATCATGGCTCCCAAGAAAAATAAGGTTAATCACCCTCAGATTAAAAACTCTTTAGATTCAGATTCCATATATTCAGATTCCAAACCCATTCTATTCCCTGTCGATCGCAAGATCGCAACCCATCCTGAACCTTTCATCAGGGTTTGATCGGTCAAGGGATTACCCCCTGACGAAATTCAAGACTTAATCAACTTTACTCTGGATCATTTCTTTAGGAGAAAAGAAAATCTAGTCCGTTCAATTCTGAGCGCCATAAAAATCAGTCACAATGAAATAAACTTCAGTAGTAACGTGTGATCAGTAACTGACGAGTCTCTTGCGTCATCACCAATCCCAGAGAAAAGCTATCCTCAAGGGAGGTTTCCCAGCTCGTCCACCATCCTCACCCTGCAATAAATAACTCAGCAGGTAAATCCTGATATAAAAAGCCCGATTGCCCGGAACGTCAGGTCCCAAAATCAACCCTCCCGCTGTTGCTCATCAAACGCAACAGGCGCACACAGTGCTTCGAACATATGGCTCTAGAGGACAAAATGCAAAACTTTTATTGTAGGCAATTTGATTCAAACTAGGTTTATTTTGGTACAAATGATGAGTACTCTCATTGTAAATTAAATGATGATGTTCTTAGTCCCACGTTTACGAAAAAATCTTATAAATAATAAAAATGTTGAGCTGTGTTCCATCTAAGGAAATAATAATTCTATATGAAAACGGTGTAAGTATTAAATAAATCCCTGTGTTAAAAAAGAATTGGAATAACATTAGAACATGATTCCTACAATATAAACCAATATAAGATAAAAATGTTTTTCTTTAATGAAAAAGAAACATTAATGCTATATTTTATTAAAAAAAAAACTTAAGATACTATAAATTTACTTTAGGAAAACAAAATGCATATATTGTAACTACTCTGATTCAGAAGAATCACTGCTGACAGAATATTCGAAATTTATAGTATCAAAATCACAGGTAGATGAAATATCCTCACATATAAGATATTTCTGTACATCATCTTCTAATATATTACTTTTTCTGCAAGAAATACTGTTCTTTTGTTGGTGTTGAGGGGTTTGATGTTAATAGTTACCCCTTTTATAGACCATATCAATATATTATTTTTTCCTTTTCTTTGGGTATGAGGTTTTATAATAAATTGAAAACATGGAAACTTTTATGCGACGTTTCTGCTCCAAAATAGTGGGCTTTTTCAGGCACAAGTGGTGTCTCATTTGACTGGAAGGTTCACTAACATTCCACAAAGAACACATTTTTGAAATACAAATAATTTTGAGTTCTTGTCTCCATGATCAAGCTAAGTATTAACCAGATCGGCATTGCTTATCAATTTTACTCCATCTGAAAAAGTATTATAAAATAAAGTTCGTCGCAAGCAGACGCAGGTGAACTAAACAAAATTAAAAAGGTAGAATATGACAACGAAAAAATATTCACAAATACGATATGTTTCCTTTGATATGTTTTTTTAAATGCCTTTTGAAGTTTGAAAACGTAAAGTTTTATACCCATTTAAGAATCATCTTAAAAAATAAATAAAAACTAAAACAATCAATGAACTTGTTTGGAAATAAATTTAAAGTATATATACCTTGTTTAACAATATCCATAGTGGCTTTCTAATTATAATGTACGTTTACTCATATACAGAACTACTTCATGAATGTTATTCTTTCACTGATATAAGATAATGATCGCAAAATTTATTTTTAGTGAAAATATTTCATAACAAAAAACGCTGTTTATGAAAAAAATAATATACAGATATTGAACATTGCTATAAGCACAGAATATCTAGCTATTGCTAAGATGTATTCAGATATTAGTAAATTTTAACTTTTTTTTTTCGATTTTTGTCCATGGACGAAGCAACTGTGAGGCGTCCCAAACTGAACCCTCCCCTGGTTGGTTCTTCAAACACAGCAGGAGCTCAACCTAAAATTCCCCTGCTGTTCCTCAAATGCAGGAGCCCTAATCTAAAAGCAAGGCCCAAAAGCTCCTGTTGTACTTTCAAAGATATCGTCTCTGATGAGCATCACAAGAACTTTCAAAGAGCAGAAAATCTGCTTTTCCGAAGTAAAAACTGTGCCTCTCGGCATTAGAATTACCCCTTCTTCCGATCACCATAGGGCCATCGTCGACTATAATAAAAAGCAAGAAAATTTTCATACTCTTATTTTTCCCCTGATGACAGGGATCTTTAATGTTCGAAACCTCAAAGGTGTTGTAGTGCTTTTTGTCGACAACTCGGCAATAATTGAGGACCTTACTTCCCAAGGCTTCGAGGTCAGAGAAAAGCATCGTTTCTCACGAGACGGTATTCCTATAGCCGTCGTCAAGGTCAGAGTACCCAAACACCAAACCCACATCTTCGACATCACGCATGTCGATGGCCCGCTGATGGTTCGGGTGGTGACGCCGAGGCGCGGTAATGGGGTACGTCAGTACCACAATTGCCAGCAATTCGGCCATGCCGATGCCGCCTCGAACTGCTTTGCGGCCCCGCGTTGCGTGAGAAATCCCATCACACCAAATCCTGTGATAAAGAGGCTGATGCACCTGCAATTTGTTCAAATTGCGGAGGTCCGCATCCAGCTAGCCACAATTCATGCCCAAAAAATCCGAGAAATCGTAATCCCAATACTGACATCCTTGGAACCCTCAAAGGTCCCGACTCCTATCCCTCCAAATCCTACACTTTATGCTTCAGTGCTCAAAAGCAATCTCAACAACTCGCCTCAAGGAAATACCCCTGGGTCATTCCTATCCATCTCTTCAATAAACCAAGAACTCCATAAACAACTACTTGAACAAGTAGCCAGTCATGTCAAAACCATGGTTTCCAAACATACTACAAGTATGTTACCCCCTATGATCTAATCTCCATTCTTTCGGTACCAAATCCCTCCCAAAAACTGTCTGCCGGACAACACAAACTCTTCTGACGTAGTGTCCAGTCGCTTCTAAATCTCGCATCCCAATACTAGCCTTCAGGCACCTAGGTCTTCGCCCCTTCCCTTCCCCAACACATAAGCAGGAATAAGAGCTGCGATTCTTCGGCCGCTGATTCCCCGGAGGTGGATCGTTTTTAGTGGGTATTTCGAATCCCACACTGTCTAGGGGTTATTTCTATGACTGTCTCTCTCGATATGGTCATGGAAATGATCACTATTCGTCTATAAAAGATTTTTAAACCACAAAAGAAAAAAAACTCAGCATTTGCCATAAAATAGCGAGCAATTTCTTATAAAACCATATAAATTATATATCACTGTAATCACAAAACTTCAATCTATTTCCGTATTGTAACGGAATTTTAAATTGTGTCTTTATTTTCGAGAAAATTTACTCCAAACATATGGAATATTTGATTGATTTTGACCATCAAAATCTTAAAAATAAAAAAGTCGTCTAAAAATGTGCTACAATACGGACTAGTGAAAGCATTTTCTTCACAAGTTTCTTAAGCAAACAAGTCCAATTATTGCAAAAATACACACTTCAAATAACCGCGTCGTCTACGTCATTAAATTATCCACGGTCGACGGGCCGCGTTCACAAAGAGAAAACGAAAAGAAAAAAGACCAATATTGCTAAGGCCCGTTCCCCAGCCATGCCCAATTGACTCGGGGCACGAGATAAAGCCGCCTTTACACTGCGGAAGTTGTAAAGGGCCCATTGTCGTATCCGTGGAGGGTTAGATTAGTAGGGCAGGAATACCTCTACGAAAAATTCTTTGGAAATTTATAATTTGACTTTATATTTAGTCCAAACAAACAAGTTATTCATAAACACATAATATTTTTTCCATAGCAACTGTTAAAATTGCTTTATATCTATCAAAAATAGTACTTTAAGGGTAGATTAAATGATACTTTAACGACGAGGATAGGTTAAAAACTTTATGTCTTCTCGCACGTTTTTTTAATTGCTCCCATTTTTGAAAAATTTTATATTCCTTTTCATAAGTTATTCGGGATTTAAATGGAAGTATATAGTACTATTCTTTTAAAAGTTCCTCAATATGGCCTAGTTACGAAAATTGGTAATTTTTTTTAATGAAAAATAAGTTGGCGTTAGCGAATTCAGAAATTGTTTTACTCTTTGGTTAACAATAATATTTTTCAGGATTGTCAAGTTGACATTAAAGCTAGGTTAGTTAGGTGGTTGGTTGCTAAATAAAACATAGATTATTGAAAATGATTTAATAAGAATAACAAAGGCATTTTACCGCAAGATCCGAAGAGATTTCACTTAAAGGTATTTATAAACTTTCTCAGTGAGAATATTAACTCCCCTGTTTCTTATACCTATTTCAGTTAAAGGGACGTAAGAACTATAGGAAGTAAATTTTGTTTTCATGTTTTGACGATATCTTAGAGTTTAGAATTATCAAGATTATTGAATAATTATAGTTGTTTAATAAGGAAATTAATAGAAGACTTGGAAATAGGATGATACTTTCATGTTATAGTTGATAGATCGCCCCCATTTCTCTTAATTTGTTTTTATTTCAGTACAGTTAATCACAAATTGAATTGATGTAGCAAAAAACAGCTATATATTTTCAAACATCTTATTCAAATAGTTCTTTACATACTGTTAAACTGTATTAACTACAAAGCATTTAGCAAAATTATAAGGTAATAAATTTTGTAGATATAATTTATGAAAATTTATAATATATAGAGATTAGAACACAACTCTGAAGGAAAAGAAATACTCAAAACTCATTAAATATACTCTTTTATTAAAATAACAACATACAAAAACATCCATGCAAAACCGTAATAATCAGAACATTATCCACATTATAATTTTATTAAATTTGTGTCCACACTCTGTCAGGAAAGCCAGAAATGTTTGTTTAAATATTAGCTTATTTTAAATCTCGCCAGAAACACATCAGAATATATCACAGCCACAACTATAGGTTAATTGTAGTACTAAATTTTATACCTAGTAAGTGATGGCGTTAACTAACAAGCATAGATAAAAACAATTATTAATATAGAGTGTACTATACAATGTCCAGCTTATTTATGAAATGACTTTCACTTCAAATGTGAGGAATACCAGTAAAATAAAACATAATTTTTGGTTTGGTTTGGTGTTTGATATTCTAACTACATCTATTACTTGTGTGTTATCTTTGTGTATATCCTGTAAAGTAAAAAAATATATATTTCAAGAAATATGAAAACAATGCAATAGATATCAAACAGATTCATAAAAACTACTTACAATTATTGTACATAATTATATATTTCAAGTGTTATTTGATGTTTCGTCCCATTACCAACATTACCTTATTTAGGTCTTCTTCTACTAACTCAACTTTTAAACCTGTTTTAAACCTTTCTTTATATTTTAAAACTGATTTACAACAATCTGTAATGCCCGCGCTATTTCCTGAAATATAAGTTAATCTATTTATTATCATATAGTACATACATAAACCTGAAAATTACTGATACGAGGAAACTTCTCAAAATAATTAGAGAATCTTTTACAAACATCTGACTAATTCTATTGTCACCAATTTGTAACGAGCTTCATCGTTTCTAATACGTTTTAAGCGTTTTAGACATTTTGAATATCTTCCAGCCTATTCGTCAATTCTGATCGGTGAAAGAGTAATAATTAGTACTGCAGGTTGCAGGTTAAATAAAAGAACAAAATCAAGTAGAATTTGTGAATAAAAACTCAAAAATAATGAAAATATTTAGAAAAAGGAACCGTAAACGTCACAATGTCAGCCAAGTGTCAGAGTTCAACTGGATTTACCAGATTATCAAATTTGAACGACGAAGTACAGTCGATTCCAGTTTAGAGATTTTCGTTTTAAGCCTCCCATACCGGGAAGTCCGCCATGTTGGGAAGTTTTAAATGAATACAAGTATAGTTTGCATATGGCGTTTGGTCGCCTCAGCCTGAATATCTGTTGGTAATGCATTTATTTCGTTTTGAGCCATTTCTGGCTCCAATTCAATCAGCAAACGACACGAAAGAGAATTAAAAATACTGACAACCAAAGAAACAGCTTCATTTATTTGTCAAACTGGTTAGAACCAACGCCAACCCAGCATCAAATCAATTTTACTTAATCAAAGAAACAAAATGAATTATTTGACAGTTTCTGACAGACAGCAGCCCTGTTAAACCATTCTGCCTATTCTATCGACTGACAGATATTACTGTACCGGCTACCGGATATTGCCTGGCTTTTATTGCGGGCGTCTGCAGGGAGTGGGGCCATTGTTATGACAGGAGCGGCGTGTCACGGCATCATAAATTATGACAGGATAGCAGCGACAATTCCGCTTCCTACGTCACGGGGATTCTAAGCCCTTGAATGAAACGGGAAGTTTTAATTGATATTTATCGAGTTCCAGGGGCAGCGGGAGCAGACTCAGGGTCGTATTACTTGGTGGGGTTTGTTTTACCTCAGCCTCCACTACATTAGTGTGTTTTTTCTGTTTAATTCCATATAACATGGTGGGGATTATTATTGCTCGGTACACTGCAAGTTTCGTTTTTGTGCTCAAGTCATGATTGTAGAAACCCCTATCATTTATACTAAAGTCAACTAATCAGTTACCTCGTCAATGAACAAATCAGTAGAACAATCGCAGTAGATATATAAATTAGCGATGGGAACTATCGATTGAATTAGACTATCGAATGGTTACTGAATGAATGATTTCAACTATCGAATGGTTTTATTCGAATAAAATTATTCATTCATTTGTATACTAAAGCATATGTGACAAACCTTTCGCCAAAGGACTAAATGGTTATCGTTGAGCCAATGACTATCGAATGTTTTGATAAAATGAAATTTAGGCATTCGTTTGATTTTTGTAAAAGTGTCATTGCATTATTAGTTCTTCCAAATTTTATAACTTCTGCCTTATAAATACTGTATATTTTGCGTTTATTAAAATATTTAAAATACTCAAAATAGTAGTTTTTAATTGACGATTGTGTGCGTACGCAGGTGGTCAAAATTTTTCCGAAAAGTTTGTGTGATTTTCCGTAGCCCGATCTTTCAATTATTTAATTTTATATGGTATATGGTCTATTTTTAATGGGAAATTTTGAGAAGTAGCAATTTTTAAGAGAGATGAGATGAACTTATTAATTAATTTTAAAATACATATTTGTATTTTAGATGTTTTAATAATAAGAATTAGTTGGAACTTTTCTAATAATTATATTAATTACTGTGGTTAAGTAAATGGTTATCGAACTCAGACTATGGGTGAGAAAATTAAATTAAAAGTTTTACACGTACAATTCTAAAAAGTTAACGATGTTTGTATTTGTTTATGCTAATTCTCTTACATGTAGTTTTTTGCGAAGAAATATTTCATTTATTTTAGTAAGTAAATACCAGTAAAAGTAAATATTATTATTAAATAGTAATATAAAGTACCGAATATAAATAATTTTGATTTCTAATTTTTATTTATATTTTCCTTTGCATTACACTGCACGCTTAGAAAATTAATAAATGCTTATATTTCATGATTTTAAAATTTGTTGTTAATATAACAAATTAGTTCTGTAATTATTATTATTTAATAAACCAACGTTATTGGCCAAAAAATTGAGAGACTATATATTATTTTAAATAGGATCTAATATAAATAATTTTGACATCAAATTTGTTTTGGTTTGGTTTGGTTTAAATTATATTTTGCTACTACTTAAAAAAAAATGTTTATATTAAATGATTTCAAATTTTGTTGTTAATAGGTATAACAAATTATTACTGTTATTATTATTTATTAAACCAGTCTTTGCCTAAACACATTAAAAATAATTTTCCTACATCCAAAATAACAAGTATTATTGCAGTGTAACAACAGAATATTAATAAAAAATATAAAAATATATAGACATACTATCCCTAACTAACTAAAGCCAAACAATAATATTCTTTGCTAATATCACTATCACCGAGACTAATACCAATATATGGCAACTGCGCCCTTCATAATGTATTTCTGTGTAAATACTAGCACCTCAATAAAAAATAATGTGTCCCATCTTTATCTGACTCCACAAAAAATCAAAGATGCCGGCTTTTCATAGCATTGGTTTGACACAGACCGGTTTTTCGAAGAAAACCTACGTCGCCGGGCGACAACTAAAATCCAGTTAATATTTTATTATAATCGATCTGACGAATAAATAAATTTTCTAAAATGAATGAATTTATAAAATGAATGGTTTTGCTGCCGAATTAATAGAATACAATATTTCAAGGCAGATGACGCATGTATTCGATAATTTTTATTCGAATAGTTTTCAACGAATGTTTTTTTACTAGCTATCGAATTATTCGAATGAATTGCAACTATCGAATGTTTCGATAGTATTCATTCGATAGTTCCCACTACTAATATAAATCATACTAAAGGACTCATTAATTTTTAAAGATTATCTCTTATTCACAAATCTTTTTTCAGATGCAGACTTTGTTCTATAATAGTCAATATTTTATCCACTCTTTGTAGGTTTTTTTTCGGGGAATTCCTAAGGGATTTTGACAAAATGAGTGAGCGGTACGTGATCGGAATATCGAACAATCCTCAACTCCTTTTACTTCAGCTGGAGATAAACGAATTTTAGAGTTTATTTTGTCGATTTAGACGCTATTCTTGCAGAAAAAAAAAACAATAAATTCCGTTTTGTATATTAAGTAGCTCTCTGTCAACTCAGTCTTGAAAAGGATTTTACTAAAAACAAACTTACCCATACAGTTTTGGAAAAATAAAAAGAAATATTTTAGAAAACAAAAATAAATTCGATAATTATAAATATTACAGGGTTGTTGACCACATACGACACGGAATATTGTAGCTAAACGATGAGATTTTTACAAATTGTAAGTTTTGTAAGATACAGAGTGTACCAAATAAGTAAAAAATATTATAGTTGTATTTTTTTAAATGGAACACCCTGTATATTATTCTATTTTTGGATTCTACGATTGAAATAAAGGTAAATTTGATTAAGGTTTATCACACTTAAACCTTACCGTTTTGAAATATTTCAATTTTATGAAATTGCAGTAAAATTTTAAGGCCTCATTTCTCCAAGGGTAATGCTTTTTAATACTCAAATATTTACTGACGATTATTTATTGATCAGATATTGTGTTGCAATAATAAAAATTTTACTACCTTATACAGAGTGTCCAAAAATGTATATTAAATAATTACTAGCTTTAAACGGCAATAACTTGTTTAATTTAAATAGAACACCCTATATATTTTAGGTGAATCAGATGCACAATATTATATTTTTACAGCCGAGCTACCACCTGAATCCCCAGCGGGAAATTTAAATTCCAGTTAGTCAGCCCGGCACCGAATATGTCCATGGTTGGCAAAAAAGAATTTAAAAATCGCGACTTCGATTAAGTAACTAAATGTTTAACTGGTATCGAATATAGCTTACTGAATTTCCTAATTTCAACCAGTAAATATACTTGGAGTTTTATTTTGATTTATTTCCGTTGGTAACCTTTAGTTTCCTAGGGTGTTCTTTGACCTTTAAATGTCCCTTTGTATAAGGTGACTGAAAATTCTAGAACCCTTAGAATAAAAGGTCATATCAAAAGAAATTTTATACAGTATCACTTTAAAATTACATTATATCATTTTAAATAATAAAAATTATCGATACACAGTTAAAACTAAATTAAATTGAAAGTCATACGTGAAATCAACTTGTCAGCGCCACAGATGATTTACTAGTTAAAGTCTTGCATTTTAGACGTTTTTTTTTCTGGAAAAATCTGTGCTTGTACGTTGTTACATATTTTTATATCTAGTTATAATTTTTCTGAAGCTTCTATCGTTCGGTAACAAAACGCACTCTCAACCCCGATGACATCACCTTATCAACTATGCACCCCCTCCCATAGTTTCAACCCTTGTACGAGGCCAATCTACCCCATCTAACGAGCGTACGGTCAATTTGGCCGCAGTTTTTCGTGTTTCCGTGACGTATCGACCTAATCTCCTTCCCCCACAGTGGTTCTCCAACTCCCCAGCAACCCCCGCAAGGCCTCAATCAAACTTTCAAACACCCCCCTTGCCTGGACGTCTATATCAGGTGGTGAAATCTTGTCTGTGTCACTTGTACCGTATGATCGAAAAAAAAATGTGTAGATTTATACCGTATGATCGAATAAAAACGGCGTCAGCGATGGTTATAAAATGCCGATCAATGACATTTCCGATATAATTTTACATATAAAATGACAGCGATCTTAATTTCGCAGCCATCGCTGACACCGTTTTTATTCGATCATACGGTATGTCATCGATCGTCATTTCCCAGCCAACTGGACGCCGTTTTTGTCGATCATACGGTAGTATAACATATTCTTTCAAAAAATCATAAATTATACGAACTTTTTCTTAACAAAACCTGAAGTACATTGTCTAGAGCACATCAAATAATACGAAACTTGTTTGATAAACTTTAAATTTAATAGAGTTTCTTTGGAGTTTTGCATAATAGACTACCTCTGTGAGATTGGCGGCCTGTCTTCAGTTCTGTATTACATGTAAGGAGAAACCATCAAAACTTTTGTTGAACGTGTTGTTTAATTATAAGTATACAAACTATAGATTACCAACAATATTCTCAGTGCGGTGTTTTAGTTTGTTTGTTTTGAGGAATAGAGAAGCATATAAAATACTTGTTCAGGTTCAAAATTAGATGTTATTTTCACAGAATTAGTATTCTAATGATGAAGAAAAGTAATTTACTATGCTTCTAAAACTTCATTAAAACTTGAAGATATAAAGTTTCTTTAGAAATGATAAAAATGGTAAACTGTAAAGAAATTTTACATAAATTAATCTCCTGATTTCGCTAATGCTAAAATTGATGCATCGGAAATCGGAACCTTTAAACGCAAATATATTGAAAACTTTTATCTTGAAGCTTTGGCATTAATAAATGTGTGTAAAAGTATCACATTTCAAGAAAAAGGGTTTACCAATGTTCTTAAAAATAAACAAAATATATTATTTTTATTTAACTTTTCGAGAGCTGCAACTTCGTCGGGAAGCATTTTAGGGCATATATTCATAGGAACTTGTTTTAGTTTTATTTTTATCTGTAGAATCACACATCGAAGTTCGATACACTATTTTTTGACACCCTGTATATAAATTGACGAAAGTTATATTTTGATTTTTTAGGATGGCGAGAATCGTTGCTGTCCCTACCCAAAAAGCTGCTATCTGGCGCGTCCCTGGTACACTACAACTCAAGCTCGGTCTCAAAAGAGGTAAGTAGTACCCCTGTATACAGGGTTGTTTACCACATACGACACGGAGTACTGTAGCTAAACGATTAGATTTTTACAAATTGTAAGTTTTGGGTTCGTTGAAGGACTATTAGAGCTACAATTTAAAAATATTTTTACAAGATACAGAGAGTCCCAAACAAATAAAAAATATCAAAGTTGTATTTTTTTAAATAGAACACCCTGTATATTATTGCATTTTTAGTTTCTACGATTAAAATAAAGGTAAATTTGATTAAGGTTTATTACACTTAAACCTTACCGTTTTTGAAATATTTTCAATTTTACGAAATTGCAGTATAAATTTTAAGGCTTCATTTCTCCGAGGATATCAAAGTTTTTTAATACTAAATATTCACTGAAGATTATTTATTGATCAGTTATTGTGTTGCAATAATAAAAATTATACTACCTTATACAGAGTGTCTAAAATTTATTTTAAATAATTATTAGCTTTAAACGGCAATAACTTATTTACTTTAAATAGAACACCCTGTATATTTTATGAGAATCAAATGCACAATTTAATTGTCTATCAAATTGTATTATACCATTTCTTACCTATCCTTCAAGTTTTCGTAGAAAATGCATTTTCTTATAATTTAGACCTCATTTATCAATATACCCATGGAATATTGACATTTTAGATTGTTTTATAACAACAAATGTACAAAATGTAATAGACTAGTAATATTATCGTTTTTACTAAAACGATAATATTACTAGGCCATTTGTATGCAAAAAGAAAACTATTTAAATCTTTATAAAAGAGTATACCATTAATTAAATATACCACCAGTATTTCCACCCAAATACTAATTAACTACATACTTAATTGTGTTCGTTAATAAATTATTCTAAATAAAGGTGGATTTGAATCAGAAATCAATATAATAATAAGTTATGAAAATGAACGTCTCTGTTGTTATAAATAAGCATGTGTCAAAAAATTAAATATCATTTTTAAAGTGTTACTTTTTACCACACTGTCTAATACACATACATAATTCAGTTTTTTAGTATTTGGAGCAATTATTATTAATCAACGCAAACAGTCAATTAATGTAGTTTGAATACTGGAATCATATTAATTGGTCCTCTTTAACAAATATTTAAACAGTTTTTTTATTTTTTAATGAAATAAACGAACTATATCGACAATATTAGTATCTGTACTCTTTAAAAATTCTTTAAAAATCTTTAAAAATAATCTAAAATGTCAGTATTCCATGGGTATATTGATAAATGAGTTCTAAATTACAAGAAAATGCATTTTCTACGGAAACTTGAAGGGATAGGTAAAAAATGGTATAATGCAATTTGATAGACAATTAAATTGTGCATCTGATTCTCCTAAAATATACAGGGTATTCTATTTAAATTAAAGAAGTTATTGGCGTTTGAAGCTAGAAATTATTTAAAATAAATTTTTAGACACTCTGTATAAGGTAGTAAAGTTTTTATTATTGCAATACAATAACTGATCAATAAATAAATTTCAGTAAATATTTAGTATTAAAAACTTTGATATCCTCGGAGAAATGAAGCCTTAAAATTTATACTGCAATTTCACAAAATTGAAGATATTTCAAAAACGGTAAGGTTTAAGTGTAATAAACGTTAATCAAATTTACCATTATTTTAATCGTAGAAACTAAAAATGTAATAATATATAGGGTGTTCCATTTAAAAAAATACAACTTTGATATTTTTTATTTATTTGGGATACTCTGTATCTTGTAAAAATATTTTTAAATTGTAGCTCTAATAGTCCTTCAACGAACCCAAAACTTACAATTTGTAAAAATCTAGCCGTTTAGCTACAATACTCCGTGTCGTATATGGTGAACAACCCTGTAGGATATATAAACAAGGGCAGTGCCGTATAATCGAAAAATTCAATCAATGACGTTTCCCATACAATTTTACGTATAAAATGAAAACGATCTTCATTTCATCGCCGTCGTTGACGCCGTTTTTTTTGGATCATACGGTATTTACAAATAATACCACAAGACTAAATCACAACTTATTCATTATCATCTTATCATAATTATCTCATGAAATTTTTCGATTTTGGTCAGGTTACAGATTTTGATGAAACTACAGTTATTTACTAATTAAAAGGCATAGAATACGAAAATGTAGGTTATTTTGTCGTAGTTCAGTATGACCTGTATGTAACATTTTAGCAACCAAGAAAAATCGTTCTAAAACAAGGAGTCGAAAAAATACGTTTTTTACAAAACCAAAACACTTAAACCTTCAAGTCATTATATATTCTAAATCTACATAAAATTTCCTAGAAATACTGAAATTTTTACAATTTTACGTGCATATTTACTGCTTTTTTAAGAGCCTTGAAAACTTGTAAATTTAAATAAAAAATCGGTAAAAAAACTTTTAAGTTAAACGGTTTTATCTTATGTGCCCTGAAAACTTGAAAATAATAATAACAGTTAGGTATTTTGAACTTCTAGTTCAGAAATATTTTAGTACTAGGCAGAATAGCTTTTAGGCATATTAGACTAAAATAAAAACGTGGGGCCCCTCTGAAATCCTACCTATGGCAAAGCATATCTTTATACTTTGGTAGGACATGAGCTCGGCGTTCGCTGGTGAAGCCGCCACGGCTGGTTATTGATTGTCAAAATCTCCTGTTACGATTATAGTAAGTCGATGCAATCCACACTTAGTATAGAAGAAAGTATTACAGCAATAGTTAATGGGCCCCACGTTTTTATTTTTAGTCTAATATGCCTAAAAGCTATTCTGCCTAGTACTAAAATATTTCTGAACTAGAAGTTCAAAATACCTAATTGTTATTATTTTCTAGTTTTCAGTGCACATAAGATAAAACCGTTTAACTTAGAAGTTTTTACCGATTTTTTATTTTCTAGTTTTTAATATTTAACGGAAATGCCTACCGAATATTCCTCATTCTATTTAATTCATATTTAGTGCGCATCATTATTACATGGTTTTTACCTGATAATTTATTACAATCTGACGCTCGGGTGTTTCTGACTTTAACAACTCTCTCTGTCTGTCGCGTTCTGATGCTAGCCTAGACTCTGACGCCTGTGGGTGTTTCTGACGCTAACAACTCTATATGTCTGTCGCGTTCTGATGCTAGCCTAGACTCATGACGCCTCAGGTGTTTCTGACGCTAACAACTCTCTCATGTCTGTCGCGTTCTGATGCTAGCCCTAGACTCATGACGCTCAAAGTGTTTCTGACGCTAACAACTCTCTATGTCTGTCGCGTTCTGATGCTAGCCTAGACTCACATGACGCTCAGTGTGTTTCTGACGCTAACAACTCTCTATGTCTGTCGCGTTTCTGATGCTAGCCCTAGACTCATGACGCTCAGGTGTTTCTGACGCTAACAACTCTCTATGTCTGTCGCGTTCTGATGCTAGCCTAGACTCATGACGCTCAGGTGTTTCTGGACGCTAACAACTCCTCAATGTCCGTCGCGTCTCTGATGCTAGCCTAGACTCATGACGCTCAGGTGTTTCTGACGCTAACAACTCTTCTATGTCTGTCGCGTTCTGATGCTAGCCTAGACTCATGACGCTCAGGTGTTTCTGACGCTAACAACTCTCTTTGTCTGTCGCGGTTCTGATGCTAGCCCAGACTCATGACGCTCAGGTGTTTCTGACGCTAACAACTCTCTTTGTCTCTCTCTGTTGTGATGCCAGCCCTAGACTCATGACGCTCAGGTGTTTCTGCCGCTAACAACTCTCTCTGTCTGTCACGTTGTGATGATAGCTTGGACTCATGACGCTCAGGTGTTCTGACTCTACCAGCTGCCTTTGTCTCTCACGTTGTGCTATTAACCTGGCATCATGTTGCTCAGGTGTTTCTGTTGCTAACCGTTCTCTTCGTTTCTGTAGTCGACTATAAGTTTCATTTTCACTTTCTTTTGCACGTTTCGTTCTATACTTTTCTTTCGCCTTTTCGAGCCTTCTTTTTCGTTGTGTAGCAGTTTCGTTTTTATTTTTGTTTGTGTTTTTATTTATTGTTTCCATGTTGTTCCCACGAGTAATGGACATTTTAACGGTCGACCCCAGAGGTCCAGTAGAGGGGCAAAGCTATAATATACAACAAGAGGCGCCCAATCTTGAGGGGAAACGCTTGCGACATTACATTTTTAGCCACCCTAATGCCATACAGTCCTCAGCACATTTTAACCTATTACCTTAACTTGGGTGGTAAAGCTACCGCTAACTACGTAGATACATCTAATCACCTATTTTTTTTATCTGTCCTTCTAACGTCACACAATCTTGGACACAACTGTTCTGGACACGACTGCTCATGCCCTCACCTAATACGCCATTTTGTAACGACGTCCATCTTGGATTTTAAATTTTGTCATAATCACAGTATTCTACTAGTGTAGCCCTTTCATTTGATACCCATATTGAGGGGGTTGTGGAAAAATATGAAATCCGCCATTTTGTATCGGCGGCCATCTTAGATTTACAATGTTATTGATATTACTATATTGTATTGTCATCGGAACTAAAGGTGTGTACCAAATTTCAGATCAATCTGACAACAGGAAGGTACTTAAATTTCAATTTCTAATTTTGACCCAAATAAACAAACAAATAAATAAATACCGTACGAGTCGAGCTAAATAAAACCGTTTAAAAATAGTAATTTTTTTGTCATTTTTCTATGCACCACAATACACCAAAACATTTTTCCTAATTTCAATTTAATCATCTGCTGGTTAGCGAAACGCGCATCCAATGCAAAAGTAAATTGTTTTGGTGTATTGTGTTGAATTACTATCTTATTTTGCTGTTGTAACATCAAAGGTATTTTAGCAATCAACATTGCATAACTAAAAAACGAAAGTTTTATATTTTAAACCTTTTAAAACATTCCATATGCCTTTAAATAATTTATTCGGCATTTATAATCTCGCATCCCCTCCCCCATCGTTCAATTTTCTTTTTGAATAGACCA